GCTGCTGCTGCTGCTGCCGCCGCCCGCCGCCCCCGGGACGCGGGGCCCCCTCCCCTCCCGGGCCCACCGCGCGCTCCTCCCGGCCGCGGGGCCGCCTCCGTCGCCCGGCCCCGGACACGCGGCCCCCGGGCCGGGCTTGGCCACACGGCGGTCCGGACGTTCCGGCCGGGTCCCCCGAGGCGCCGGTGAGTGAGAGCCTCCAGCTTGGGGCAGGGGGCGTGGGCGTCCCCAGGGCTGCCCCACCCCGCGGGTGGAACCCTGAGGGTGGCCCCGGAGGGGAAGACGCTGTCCCTAGCCACTGGGAATATAAAGTGTACCCGTGGGTTCCAGCCCCAAGCTTTGGAAGAAAACTCTCTCATGGGGTAGCCCACACCCTTCTTCCCTTTGCAAAAAAAAAAAAAAAAAAAAAGACCCTCAGAGCACCTCTCCTTCCTCGTGGGGTGGTAACTTCTGGCTGCTGTCCCTCAGTTTCGGCTCCCCCCCACCATCCATCCCGACCGACTGGAGAACGGGTCGTCCTGGGTCCAGAGCTTGACTTTCCAGTCTAAGTAAATAACGGATTTAGGAGTTTGAAAGGCTCCTTATAGCACTTGGGATGTCGTCAAGGACAAAGGGTGCACTCTAAAACAAAACGAGCTACCTTAGACAGCTTTAAGAGCAGGGGTGCTCGGGGTGGGGTGGGGGGGCTGCAAGGTTGAACCCCTTCAAGACACTCGCTGATTCTGCACTGTCCTGGAGCCCTTTGCTCCCCAGCCCCCTGCTCGGCAGGCACTGCCTGTCCTGGTCACAGAATGGGAACCCAGCTCCTATCTCTGCCGCCTTTGTTTCTGGTTCCTTTTTTTTCTGGTGGAAGAAAATGCCACGGCCTGGGTGGGATTCTAACGTAATATGACCTTGCCCTTAGTTCTTGTCTTTGGATCTCAGTTTCCCCATCTGTGAAATGGAAGGGCCCTGTTCCTCCTGGCTTCCTAATGATGTGACAAAATGAAAGTAAAAATACTAGAAAATGCTGTGCACACCCTAGCTGATGTTAACCTTCTGTCTTCCTGTGAGAGGTACAGGGCACACGCTGGGCTCTGTTGTCACACTGCCGGGACTGGCAAGCTTTTGTGAAGTCCTCACCGCTCTTGTCCAGCTTGCGTGTTTCACAAACTTTCTTCCAGGTTGCTCATCCGCAGAACATAGAGGTATTTCCTAGAATTGAGTAAGAAACCTTTTTCCACCCTGGTAAAACCCCCAAGTGCAAGTTCATCAGTACTCTCACCTTCAAAGACTGCCTTGACCTTGTGAACTTCTGAGTCACTGGCCCACGGCAGGGAAACTGAGGACCCTTGCGCAGAGGGAGAGGAAAACCGCTCTGGAGGTCCTTACAGACGCGTGCTTAACTTTCTTAACCTTGTTTATGGGGTTCCAGAGAAAAGAACTAAGGACCTAGAAGACGTTTGCAGACATTCTTACTGAACAGAAGTGACTGGGGGATTCTGTAGGGCATTTTGCGGAATGTTCTGGCCACACCGGTATGTAAGGAACTGATAACTTGGAGGGCCACCCACGAGCCCAAGGCAGGTGTCACCGGCTCATGCTCAGCCTGAGGGCTCCATCTTGTGAGGGAAGGATGCTAACCCATGAGATCCAGCTTGAGGCTGGCATAGGACTCTTCAGACTCCCCAGCTCACATGGAGGCAACTGTAGCAAAGGGACTATGTCTTAACTGAGTTAGGGAGGAATAAGGTAAGAATTGGGGCCTTAAGTGAGCCCTGCTTTCGTCATGGCCATCGTCTTGGCCCTGGAGCCTTCTCTGTTTCGTTCGTTTTGGGGTGAGCAGGATAGGGATTTCGGGATAGGGAGGAAGTAGACTAATGTAAACTTTCTCTTGAGGAGGTCTCCTGATCTCCTGGTGTGTGCAGATCGTTGTCCTCACAGCACATGCCCTTCTGTTGCCCTGAGGCCCAGTCCAGGACAGGGATGTCTGAAAGGTAGGATTAGACGAGGTGACATCTATGACGTGCTGAAAGCTGCTCCAAGCTACTGGTGTGGCTGAAGATGCACGCATCGCCTCTCTTTGGTTTCCGTGAATGCCTCCAGCGGTGTCACTTAGGAGGAAAAGGAAACACAACCAACAAACACAGCACAACAGCAATTAATGACTTAAGGGAGCCAGCGTTTCATAAAAACCTCTTAAGATTCTCCTGGCCCACTTTGATTGGCCGTCACACGCCGCTTGGTAAGACGATTAAGCTTCACGTCTGCAGAAATCCTGTTGTCCTTTGCAGACTTCCAGCCACCCTGGCACCGGGACAGATGGTCACCTGTGCTCTGAGTCCATATTTTTGTGTTTAGGGAGGTGGGTGTTCCAGCTGGTAATGAGTCTTGAGTTGTAAAAAGAATGCCCTTAATTTAGTTGGGGAACCTGCCCTGAGCTGCTTTTTGTGGGGGTGCTGGTGGCCCATGCCTGGCCATCATGGTCTGGGCTTCTAGATATCTCCTCTACCCCATGAGTAGCAGGGACTAGAGGTTTTTTTTTTGTTGTTGTTGTTTTGTTTGTTTGTTTGTTTGTTTGGGTTTTTTTTTGTTTGTTTTTTTTTAATGCTTCCCCAGAGGGCCATTCTAGCCCTTCTCTTCCCACAGAGTTCAAGGTTTTCACTGCTGGGTGGCTGTGTTTGCATTCCATTTGTGGACTGTTTGCCTACGTCAGACTGTCCTCAAGGAGAGCAGCCCCTGTTTGTATAGCCATTGTTTTGCTTTTGTGGCCCACCTGTCACCCTGTTCCGCTGTGTTTGTTGCTTCAGCCATCAGCGAAAAGAGGCTGGGGCCTAGAGATTTCCTCTCTCTGTCTGCTGGCCTAGGGTCCTCGAGCCACAGCCCTGAGCTGAGTACTAAGGTTTAACTTTTCAGTCCACAGACCATGCTTTCATTGTCAGATCTGTGAATGGTGGAAGGGGCAGGGAGGTGGGAAGGGGGCGGGACCAATGATGAGGATCTGCACAGAAAGCAAGAACTTTCTCACCCAAAGAGGAAATGATGCTGAGAAGTTAGGCAGACAGACAGTCCAGGGAATAAAAACCTTAGAAAAACGTGGTTCCCTGAAGGAAGGGAGCTCTGAGCCCAGCCCCTTCTTGAGCTGTTAATTGGCTGTTCCTAAATTGCTCTTTGTGGCCCAACTTTGCTGTGGTGTAGCTTGGCTGCCCCAGGCCCGTTGCAAGGTGCTCTAAAGGCTGGCTGGGGAAGGAGTCAGCCCTCTCAGGGAGGGGAGAGTGGCTTTCCCCCAGGCACGTGACCCTACCAGCTGAGAGGAGGCTCTAAGCATCCAGAAGCCTGCTTTTTGACAGAGGTTGCCACAAGCAGAGATAGGGACGTGGTGTTTGGGGGATGTTGAGAAGCCACATCCTTTTAACCTTGCCTCTTTCCTGGTGCGTGCAGATGCTGAGCTGGTGTTTTCCGCTTGCCAGCTGACTTGTGTGGACAAGGGGAGACTTCACTGTGCCCATGCCAGCTGGTCAATTACTGTCTCCTAGACTCGAGAGCAAGGGCAGGGGCCTCTGGCCTCTCGGTGATCTCTCTCTGTTTCCCATTGGCGCTGGCCAGCTGTCTGAGTGCTCTTACTCAGAGTCGGGAAGTAGGAGGCAGCAGATGGCAGTTACTGTGTCCTTAGCTACTTGCCATCTCTTCAGCGTCTTACCCCCACCCAGGCATCTTCTCTGTGAGCAGGGTGCTTGAGCTGTAGTCAGTACCTTCCTTTGAAGACTCCTGTGGAGGCGACAGGAAGGAGACTGTGATCCCTCCTAGGACTTTGAGCACCTACGTGTGGTCGGTGCATTTATGCTTCTTAACCCATTTTCACTTTCCGGTCCTGCAAGGGGTTTTGTTTTCCCCTTTATTCTCCCTGTGTGGGAAATGAAGCCTAGCAAGGTTGGGTCACTGGGAAAGGAAGGAGGCTGGATTTCAGGCGGTGTCAGCCAAATTCATTAGCCCATCTCACCGTGTTACGAGGTCTCTGTTTCTCATCTGTGGGGTGCGACAACCTTGTTATAGTTCTTTGGGGCTCGCTCCGGCTCACTATTCTTTCTCCTGCTGTTTCGTGAGGTTGGGGGTCATGATTAGAACGAGATGGCAATCAAGATGCTGACAGAGATTTTTTTTTTCAAAACTAATTTTTAAATTATTTGTTTTTACTATTTAAAAGTGTGTGTGTGTGTGTGTGTGTGTGTGTGTGAGAGAGAGAGAGAGAGAATGTGAGTGCAGGTGCCTGTGGAGGCCAGGGGGCATCAGATCCTCTGGATCTGGAATCACAGGTGGTTGTGGGCTGCCCAGTATGGGCTCTGGGAACAGAACCTGAAAGACCATTGTATACTCTGAACCCCTGTGCTATCTGTTCTTCAGCCCCAAGAGGGCAGCTTTTAAGATTATTTGTGGGGGGGGGGGGGTTGTCTCTGAAAGGCTTTAAGTATATACATGTATATAATGGTATTTTATATTGTTATTGTGATGTATGACATATATGTGTGTGTGCCAGGTTACAGATGCCTGGAGTAGCCTAATTCACTATCAACCAAACTGAAATGACGTGTTGGCTGTCTGTGGGCTCTTGGCTGGGAACATGGGACAGTGATGAATGTTGTGTGGCATTTGTCACTTGCTATCAGTACCTGTTCTCTTAAGTGGGAAAGCATTCAGAAGTTGTCAGATCACTTTCATTTTAATATCTGTTCTTTCTCTGGCCACCCACTTTTCGTTTCCCCGTAGACATAAACAAAGAGATTCCTGTCCGGTCTTTTCTCTCGTGCTTTTGTAAGAGTATGACAGGTGTCTCCCCGATCCTAAAAATAATCTTAAAATCTACCCTCTTAGGGCTGGGGATATGGATCAGTGGCTCGAAGTGTGTACTACTCTTTCAGAAGACCTGAGTTCAGTTCCCAGAACCTCACTGGGCAGTGCATAACCACCTGTAACTTCAGCAACACAGGATCTAATGCTTGCGGCCTCAACAGTCACCACCCATATTCATGTGCAACACACACACACCCGCACACATGCACACACCACGAACACGCACACACACACACACACACACACACACAAAACAACAAAATAAATTTTTTTGGCCAGGTGCCACTTCCAGCACTCAGGGAGGAAGAGGCAGTTGGATCTCTGTGAGTTCAAAGCTAGCCTGGTCTACAAAGTGAGT